GTCTTTTTGAGACAGGGTCTCACTATGCAGTTCAGGCTGGCCTTGAGCTCACTTTGTAGCCCAGGCTGGTCTCAAACTCGCAGCGGTCCTCCTGCCTCAGCCTCCGGAGTGCTGGGATTACAGGCGTGCGCCACCACGCCCGGCTCTGCCACTTAATACAACTTGATTACCTGTGGGGCAGAGCCTAGAATCTCCGTTCCATTTATTTTTGTTGTAAAAAATAATATAAGAACAATATTCAAGGAAAATGATTTCATCTTCCCCTCAGCACAGCAAATACTTTTGTCTGTCTCCTTTCAGCCTTTGCAAGTGATACCTACTGGTAAAATTTAAATTCTAATCTGTTACTTAACATCAAATCACACTTTATGATTCCACATCTTTTCCTGCTTATCGTTTTCACTGTCCTGTGACCATCGATCTGCAGATGAATCACAACTTATTCATATTCTGTTTTTCATTTTTAACTGTGGACATTCTTACACACAGGAGTTTTTTTCTTCCGTTAAAATATTCCTTAGCCAGTGTGGTGACACGTGCCTGTAATCCCAGCACTCGGGAGGCTGAGGCAGGAGGACTCTTGAAAGTCTGAGAAGCTAAGCAGGGTTAAGAACTTGCCCAAGGTTACACAACAGCTACGCTGGGGCACCCAGATGCCAACCAGGGCAGCCCGACTCCAAAGCTGTGTTCTGTGCCACCTGACAAACCAGCCCAGACCTCAGCGGTGTTCCTGCTCCTGCTGGGTCCCTTCCCCAGACTCCCAGCTGGATTCCTTGCCCTACTGGGACAGTCTTGGGTTTCCTCTCTTCCTCATGGCCATGTCAGGTTGACCCCAGGTGCCCAGGCCACAAGCAAGCTCCTTCCGATTCTTTTCTGCAGAAGTCAACGTCAGAAGCCAACCTTCCACCCAGTACCCACCCCTGCACCGTTATGCTTCCCGACCCTGAGGGCCTGGGATTGGCTCCTGTGAACTTCGGTGCTGACCTTCACTCCTGGACTACCTGCAGCAAACCCTCACCTTCCCCTGCTGCCCAAGCTTGGGGGCTGGAGCAGGAGAGCGGTCCTGCCAACCATCACGGAGGTTCTATGCACTAAATGGGCTCGAGTTTGGAGCCCAAACCGCAGATACCTGCTCCTCCTTCCCAAGAGAAGGTCAGCACAACCCACCACTGAGAAAGCAAAGTCCTCCCCACGGCTTCCACGACAGCGCCCGAGGGAGAGGCTGAGGAGCTTGTACACTGCAGAAAGCCTTCTCCCGGGCCACCAGGCTGGTGCTCCAGCTCAAGTTAACGCCAGCACCACAAAGTTCCTCAGGGGTGAAAGGGATAGCTCATGATCTGCCTAAGCCACGTGCCACGTTTCTTAACTGGACCCAGACAGAGAACCCTCTTTGTGGTCACGATGGAAACTCAACAAGCTCTTTCTTGGTGACCCGTCACCGCTAGGCTTTTGCTGCTGTCACTTGTTCCTCTAACTGGAACTGGATGAGAATGGCATGAAATTCCCAAGTATAAGTCCTTAGGGGCCGGCTGGTCAGCCTCACAGAGAAGAAAAGCAATCAAACTAACCGTGGCTTCCCTTGCTGGAGGGAGGACCTGGCTGCCAGAGGAGAGAGGATGAGATTTAGACAAGAAGGGGTGTCGGTTCTGCTTCTTCCCAGCAGTGCGGCCTTCAGCCAGTCACTGAGCTCCTGAGCCCCCAGTTTCCCATCAGTGAGACAGGGAACCGCCTATGCTGCCCTGCTAGGCGACCGAGAGTACTGCGAGAAGAGGGAGGCCACGCACTTTCTTTTTCAAATACAAGTAAGTAGTTACAAGTTGAAAAGTACAGTGCGCCAGAATTTAAAACTGCCAAAGGACACAAAAGGGTCAGCTAGAGTTTGGACGCCACCCCGCCCCCCACACACACACACCTACACACACCGAGCCACCTACAACAATGTGACTGGGTCACTTAAAATTCTTTCTTCTTCATCTACAAAATAAAACCATTAAAAAAAAAAAAAAAAAGACAACAAAAATGCCTTGTCCCTGCTAACTAAGCATTCTTACATGCAAAGGGCCAAGTGTCTAATCTGCCATGAACACATTTTTAATAACCAGAGTCCTCTGAACCCAATTCATCATCACTTACTGCTGTGTTGGAGAATTAAGAGTTAAATGGCACAGCCGGCGTGGAGGCGCACGCCTGTAATCCCAGTACTCAGGAGGCTGAGGCAGGACGATGGATGCAAGTTCAAGGCCAGCCTGAGCTACATAGGGAGATCATGTCTCCAAAAAAAAAAAAGAGTTAAATGGCAGAAATAAAAAAGTCTTGTTACTGAGAGTAGCAGAGTGAAGGAGGGGCCTCCAGGCCTACAGACTACACTGAGAGCTCCGAGCTCTCAGTGTAGAGACCCTTGCGAGTCTGCAGGGGCCAGCAAGGAGAGAGGGCAGTGTGGACGCAGGCTCTGGACTCAGCTCGGGCTCCCTGGTGACCTCCAACTGGCTGCTGCTGCCATCACCAGCTGGCAGGGCACAGGCAGCTGGGAGGGCAGAGACTGAACTGTACTTTGTGAGCTCAATCATGTGCTGTGTGTTTTCTTTATACTCTTTTCCCCTAAACAAATCCAAAGCCCTTAGCCAAGTCTTTCCGTGTCTCATCTTGGTCTCAGGTTATGGGACCTGAGACTTCTCTTTATTCTTCTAAAGAGAAGAATCTGGCACCATGTGTGGTCCAGGGTGGCCCAAAGAAGCACCACGCCCCCTGACCAAGGGCAGTGAAGTGGCGGCAGCAGAGGCAAGCGAGACTCAGAGGAGAAGGCGCCTTCTCGGGCACTGGCCCCTGGGCAGAGCCCCACTGACTATCGCCGTGGAAGGCCCGCAGCTGTTCCGCCAAGACACAGCAGTGCCCAAACTCAGAGCGCAAGCACAGACGCTGCCGTCTCTCTGTGCTTGTTCCAGGGAATTTCTCGGTGAAGCTGCCCCGAATGACCAAAACAGCCACTGCAGACTTTAGGGTTTCATGGCTGAGTGTAATTTTGAAACAAACTTGGGGGGCTACCATAAAGTCGCCGACTTCTTACTAGACACGGCTGCCCGTTAATCACGACTGCCAACGTGACTGGGTTAAGAAACGCCTCACAGACTGGTAAGTGCAGCGCTGGGTGCGTCTGGGTGCGTCGTGGAGGTGCGACTTTAGGGGCTGTGTCCGGTCCTTGGTGCCTTTCCCCTGGTGCTGCTCCCCTGTTCTGTTTCTCAGCGGCCCTGAACTAAGCACCTTCCTCTTCCATGCCCTTCTGCCAGGGTGTCCCTGCCTTGAGCCTACTGACCATGGACTGAACCCTCCGAACCTGTAAAGCAAGTCAAACGCCCCCTCCATTAAGGAGTGGGTGTCAGGTATTGCATCCCATCAATGGGGAAGCTAATACAGTAGGTAAAACACACACACACACACACACACACACACACACACACACACACGGTATTCACTACCAGCATAACTGCATGAAAGAAAAGACATTTCAATGTCAAAAAAAGAACTATTTGTTGTTTTTTTTAAATTTTTTAAAGAACTATTTGAAAGGTTTAACTTCATGGACAGTTCAGTCTCCACCAACACTGAGTTTCTTTTCTCTTCATGGATCATGAAAAGTTCATCAAAGACCAGCACCTAGCCAGAGGGGGCTCCTGGATTCACCAAGTCCTGTTCTCACCTGAGAATTCCAGGACTCTTTCAACCAGTTTAGGGAGAAAAAGTGCCCATCCCAGCTACCCGGGAACTTCAGGTCCACCTTGTCTGGACAGCGTGTACCACAGTGCGGCCACTCAGATAAGCACTCAGGGTGGCCCATTCCCCGGCCCGCACACTAAGGCTTTCCAGCAGTGACCCACCCACCCACTGCCACTCCCACCTGGCAGCATCACGGTGTCTCATCTATAGAGATACAAGAATTTGGACTTCTAAAGACTACTTTGATTTAACAGAAGCTTTGCTGTTAAAACAAAATTTTAAAAATATCACTCCAAGTTCACAGGACAGTTCTCGTTACCACTGATTGAGCAGGGAGCCAAGAGCTTTAAACGTATCATATTACCCACATCACATCAGTGAGCGAGAAAAGTAAGCTGCAGAATAATACGGAGAGGATGCCTCCAGTTTTGTATTCTAAGTTTATGTGAAATATCTCTCCACCACCACACATATTTATACAGGCACAAAAGAGGTCTGGAAGGGTCTGTATACAGTGGCTATTCTTTGGGAACGAGAGTGCCTGTGTGTAATTACAGTGTTAAAATTATAAATTTCTATACTTTCAGAATTTTAAGCAATAAATATGCATCAAGAGAAACACACATATTTATTTTATAATCAAAACAAATATTTTCCCCAGGAAATCCATTTTATAGACATGACAACTG